ATTATCTGTTTAACTGAAACCAAACTTGCTAGTAACAAACTCACTTTAAAGCCTCTTAAAACATCACATTACACCTACTTCCAATCCTGTACTGATAGTTCAAAAGCTAGAACCTCCATCATGATTCGTAATTCCCTAACCCCATATACACAATACTAAATCCATCTCAGACTACACTATCTCGATTGACCTCTTCTTCAAACACGACTTCAAATTTCGTATTATCCAACATATCTTCCTTGTGACAATAGCCCTATCAGACTTGAACCCAAGAACACAATAATTCAATGAATAAAAGATACATACTCTCTTAACATACTTCTTATAGTACTCGGAGACTTCAACGTTTCTACTGATAATATCCACTCCACCTCTATTAAATACAAACTTCTTCAATTCCTTACATATAACAATATGTACAATCTTGCTCTGCACACCTTCTAATTTGCTCCTACATGGCACAACTCTAGATCTAGCAGTGAAATTGATTTCATCTGGGCCTGTCACACTATTTTAACTTACCTTATCTCTTTTGATATTGATGATACAGATACCAACTCTCAAAGTGATCACAAAATTCTTATCTCTTGCTGGTCCTTTCTCTATGCTCTGCATGGTCAATGCAGATATAAAACATGTACACATAGAAGAATTTTTAATTATAAGGCTATGAATGACACAAAATGGGAAGAATTCTCAAACCAAGTCAGCACTAACCTCGATTCTAACCATATACCTTCTTTAATTCATACTTCAGAATCTCTTGAAACTACTTGGTATAAAATTCACACTAGTATAATTACAGCTGCCCTTAAACACATCCCTAACAAAAGATTTTCTGTCCGTAATTTTTAACATACATTCTCTTCTAAAGCTACCCATCTTCACTCAAACCTTAAGAAACTCAGGAATATCATTTGACAAACCAAATACGTTTAAAACACCAGTTACCTATTCCCTATCACCTTAACAACTCTATTTATTCACTTAATCATGTTTTTTAGTATTACCCTGCTCTCAGACAGTGTTCCAAATATATTAACAGTATTAAAATAAAAAATCAAAACTCTACGTATATAAATTGTGGCGCATGTTAAAATTGTGGTACATAAAAATTTTTAATTTACTTTTCCTTATATAGCTAATTGTACCATTCCAGAGTTAAATTGGCAAAAAAGTGAACGTGTTTCTAAAAAAACCCCCTTTTTTTGATCATCGTGCATATTTTCCAAATCGTTACTAATTAACTTTTGGACAACGACATGAAAAAACGATGCAAAATCCCATTTCGTGCATATTTGTTGTACCGGTACAATTGCCGATCACTAAGTAAAAATTTTGGTACAATTGAGCCACAGCAATTAAATTTTGGTACAATTAAGCCGCAGCAATTAAATTTTGGTACAATTGAGCCGCAGCAAAATTATGCGCCACAGTTGATATTATTAAAAAACGTCTATAATCACAAGTACAAAAATATGTTTTTCTCGATAAATATTCGTTCAAATTGTATGAAAATTGAGATTCTAATCGTTGAATCCCATCTGAACAAACTTTATTATTGAAGTAAAATCGATTTTATTTTGACAAAGTGCTTGAATTAATGTTTAAAAATTATCTTGCAAAATAAAAAACGTATGCAAAAGAGAAATGAAAATCTACAATAATTTGATGAGTTTTAATCCGTTTGACTTGAAATTTTACACACAAACTCTTGAAACATTCCTCTAAAAACCTTATTATGATCGTACAATATATTTCATTTGACTATTATACTCAAATCGATCGATACGTTCCTGTAAATAAAAATACAAAATTCGTCAGTAGTTCTTGTTACAAAAATTTCAATAACTTTACCTGTTCATCTCCAAATTTTCTAAAACTTCATCTGGCAAAATTTGAATATGTTAGCTAAAAGTCTTGTTAATATGTTAGCTAAAAGTCTTGTTAATATGCAGTTATGTGTTTAGAATCAACTTGTAAAATCAAGTGGTGAGTACCATGAATTTTTTAACATTTTCATCAAAAACACAGAACGTCTATTGGAAGTGTAACGTAAAAATTCGATATCTCCACGAGTTTTCATCCAAATAAGCTAAAGTTTACACGCTAATTCTTGAAGACCATGCGCAACTTTCGTATTATTGGCGGTTTTGACGTTTCATTTGAAGAAAATGGTCTTCTGATCGATTCAAATCCGTCGGCAATTTTGCAAAAATGTATAAGCAAATGGAAGACAAAATCGTGAATATCTCCTCGAATATTTGATAAAAAAGCTAAAAATTGAGATTGGAATAGTCTAATATCCCTTCTAGAAGTTTACTTAGAAGCGTAAAGATGGTTTTGTTGTGAGAAAGTTTTCAAATTATTCGTTGAAGTTTGGTTTATTGCGACGGAAAAACTAAAAAAAGATGGACGTTTTGGTGTAAATCAGATTGTTTTTTATTTCCTAATGTAGAATCTACATTTGGTAATTTTATTTATTAAATTCAAAATTTATACGACGTACAAATTTTTATTAAAAAGTATAAATAGAATGATATTTTTGTTTTTATTATACCAAAGTGATTGTTCCAAAATGTCTGTGTTTAAATTACAAAATAAACCTTTTGATATCAATGCTAAGCATAGATTTTTGAATTTCACAGCTTATCATTTTGATCGAAAACAATTTAATTCTTTAGTAGAAAAGTATTTTAAAAGTGATAAAAATCCTTTTCGTTATATTAAATACCAATATGAAAGAAATTACAATCCTCAACAAGATCAAATGGACATACATATTCAAGGAGTTTTAATTCTCAAAGACGCAACAAGAATCGGAAAATATTTAAAAGCTGGTGAAAAAAATAGAAAAAAAGATATTGCTTTAGGTGCTAAAGGTCTTTTACAAATTGAAGATTCTGTTCATTATACTGGAAAAGATTATAACAAATGCTTATTGCATCACAAAAAACCCATTGATCCAAATGATCCAAAAAGTAAACTTATGTTGTGTCGATGTGATTATTTTGATCTAGGAAAATTTTGTGAATGGTGTAATGAAGGTTGTAAAAAATATAGAACTTTGGCGAGATATGATTCTGATTCTGGACCTTTCGAATATGGAACTTATACTACAAAAAATAATACAAAAACTAAGAAGAATAATAATTTAGATAAAACTCTTGAGGATGATTATTTAGGAGAAATTATTCAAGATATCTTAGATGGAAAGCTTACTAAAGATAAAATTCTTGTCAAATATACAAAAAAAAATAAACAATGGGTTAAAACAATCCAGGATTTGTTGAGACTATGTGTAATGCTGTAAAAAGAGTAGAAAATTTAAACAATAATTATGAAAGATGTTGGAAATCTTGCAATATTTATGTTTTTGGTTATCCACGTAGCGGTAAATCATATCTTTTTCGTATTCTATTTCCTAAAGTATATGAGAAACCAAGTGAGGATCCAAAGTGGTGGCCAAACTTTATGGGCAAGAAGAAGTTATCATTAACGAAGTAGATGACAATTATTTTAAATGAAAAGATTTGTTAAATATTTTAGATTGCGGTGAATATAGTGTGCAAGTGAAAGGCTCACATATTAATTATGCACCAAAAATTCAATGTTTTACATCAAATGTACCATTGGATGAATTGTATCGATTTAATGAAAATGAAAAATATATTTCAGAAGAAAGAGGGTACAAAAAAACAAATAGAAAATATTTTTCAGCATTAAATGATAGATTTGATTATGTTATTGAATATTACAAATATAGAGATGATGAGAAACCAATATGCAAAAATGAATGTATTTGTTGTAAAGTAAAAAGAATTTTTCATAAAGGTTTTAAAGCTTCTTTCAACAATCAAGAATTTGAGATAGAGTTTAATGACAAAGTAGATGAAAAAGCAATAATTTCTATAACACAAAAAAAAGATGGACTTCTCTTTAAAAAAAGCAACAGATACTATTGGTGTCCAGAGTTTAAATTTGATAGAACAAAATATATTTTGACAGATTGTGAGAACTTTGATGGTATAGAAGCAGATATCATAGTTTATCCAGCAATTGTTAAAAAATTACGTGCTAAAAATAGTAAAGAAATTGAAATAGTTGATCATAAAGAAAAATATAAAGAATTATTTGAATCTGATACTACAAAAAATAATGAGGTTAATATGGATATAGAA